ATTAATCAAGGTCCATTGCCATCCTTCCTCAACGCTATAAATAAACAAGGTGACCGGAAATCGAGTTATTCTCAATCGAGACAGAACCCGGGCACGTTAACGCCAGTAGAAAAAATCTTTCTTGGAATCCATTGGCCTGAAAGTGCAAAATGGCGGCGGCAGCAGACTCGTTAAACGTCTTTCAAAGCGTACACTTTGACGAAACGATTGTTAAATCCGATATTCACACCTATCTTCCATACGGAGGATCTTCGGATTACGGACTTTCCAGTGAAATACGAATATTAATTCAAAATCAAGAGCTGATAAGCGCCACCTACGACAGTTTTTTGTACTTGGAAGGAAAAATTGAATGGAGTCAGCCGGAAGGAGAGGGTGCCATCGCAAAAACATGCAACCTAACAAACAATTTCGCACCATTCCTTTTCGAAGAAATTCGCTATGAGTTGGGAGGTCAGAAAGTGGATGTATGCAGGAATCCTGGTATTACATCCTCACTGAAGGGATACGTATCGTATACGTCTACTGAAAGCAAAGGTCTCAAACATTTGGGGTGGTCACCGACCGATGAATCCCTTCAAGTAGATTTCAATAAGAGCAACAAGGAGAAGCATTTCGCTGTTTGCATTCCGCTAAAACACATATTCGGATGCATGGAGGACTATCGACAGGTTATCGTAAACATGCGACAAGAATTGGTATTAATTCGTGCTAGAAGCGATGCCAATTGCTACATCGGTACCGCCGACGATGCAACAATAACATTAACAAAAATTCAATGGAAAGTTCCTCACGTGACCGTTAGCGATAGCGCCAAAATTAGCCTATACGAACGCATCAATAAAGATGCTATAATCACAATGCCATTTCGTCAATGGGAACTGTACGAATTGCCCGCTTTAAAACAGGCACAGTCGGATATATGGCCAATCAAAACTTCAACTCAACTAGAGAAACCACGATGGATAATTGTGGCATTTCAACGAAGCGGTAAAAAGTTTTCACACGAAGCAAGAGCGGCCAATTTCGATAACATCAATATTCGAAATTTAAAACTGCATCTCAACTCGGAAAGTTATCCGTACGAAGCGATGCATTTAGATTTTAATGCCAACAAGTACATCATTGCATATCAAAACTATTTAAACTTTCGGCGCGATTATTACTCGAAAGATGAGCATCAAGACGCCCTCTTTGACTATTTGTATTTTAAAAGTTGCCCCATCTTCGTGCTGGACTGTTCAAAGCAAAACGAATCTCTGAAGCATTCGACGGTAGATGTTAAGTTGGAAATGGAGTCGATGGAGGCCTTCGAGGCGGGAACGGTTGCCTATTGTCTGATCCTGCACGACGCACTAATTCAATACAATCCTCTGACCGGGGAAGTGAAGAAACTATAATTTGTATTTATTTAATGTATAAATAAAATGTAATGATAAAAAATGTTCGTAGTCTTATTTCAACCGCGACCCCAAAATGAAGGTAGTGGTGCAGAAGCAAAAGCTGCTCGTTCAAAATCTCGACACGACGCCAAATGTGGACCGCAAAAAAACCCATGGCGTATTACTTCCAAACAGCGTAAGATGCGTCATTTGTGGACCGTCCAATTGTGGTAAAACGAATACGATGCTCAGTCTGCTAACTGAACCTAATGGTCTTCGCTTCAAACACGTGTACGTCTATTCCAAATCGCTGAATCAGGACAAATATAGGGTTTTGGGGGAAATTTTACAACCAATGAAGGATATTGGCTGCTTCACATTCAACAAGAACGCGGACATTATGGAGCCCAGTGCTGCCAAACCTAATTCGGTTTTTATCTTTGACGATATCGCTTGTGAAAAACAGGATAATATTAGAGCGTACTTTTCAATGGGCAGGCATAACGCCATCGATTGTTTCTACTTGGGTCAGACGTATTCTAAAATTCCTAAACAATTGATTAGAGATAATGCCAACTGAATTGTCCTATTCGAACAGGACGACTTGAATTTGCGACATATTTATGAAGATCATGTCGCACCCATAATAACCATGCAGCTGTTTCGAGAGATGTGTTCGGAAAGCTGGCGAACCCCGTATGGGTTTATGGTGATAAATAAGGATGCGGATGTGCAAAACGGTCGTTTCAGGAAAGGCTTCGATCACTATATAATACCATGAAAACATGTTTATTGTTCAGTTCAACTGTAACGGCTTTAACAGCTTTAACAGCAGCTCTAACAGCTTTAACAGCTTCTCTAACAGCTTAACAGCTTTATCTAACAGCTGAACAGCTCAACAGCTTTAACAGCTGAACAGCTTAACAGCTTTATTGGGGAACAGACCCTGTTCCAGTTGATCTGTTCATTTGATATCGGTTTACCTGTTCCGTTGATCATGGATAATAAGGAGATGGCCTTGAAACGACGAATAGTTCAGGCGCGTAAAGCGATACAGCAAAAGTACAATCGTCTCAAAGCGGATCGTTTTATTAAAGAAGTGGAATTTGTACGAACGTATAAACCGCTAATTCAACCGCTAGCTCAGATCGTAAAGAAAATCGAACCGCCATCATCGGTTATAGAAACGAAAAAGGAGGAGCCATCAGAGGACGAAGTATTTACATCACCCCCTAAAAAACGTCAATCTCCTGTAAAAAGAAAGTCACCACAACAACGTACGACTCCTGCGATACCTTATTACTCGCGAATGAGACGAAGGCCCTCTTCCCTTACCGAGATCAGTCCGCTGGCTAGACTTCCCTACTTTCAAAAATATCCGCCAACTGATATTAGTCCTATGGTTAGACCTTTTCACCCCACGGCTACTCCATCATTGAGACAGCCGCCATCATTTCTACAGAGTACAGTGATAGGAGAGCATCAACTGGAGGAAGAAGAAGACGAGTCCTCTATTGCATCAGAATCATCTGCTTCATTACTTGATATGCAAGGTTCGCAAGCCTTTTTGGAACAATACAAACACCTACCACGTATATACGTTGAGCGCATGATAAGAGATACGAGTAATGCAATTGACAGCACCTTTGGAATTCATTATAATGTCGAAACGGATAAGTGGCGAATGGGCAAGACGGAGGTGACGATAGATGACGAAGATTTGGTCATTAACGGGGTCCGGTACAAAGGTACTGCAGGGCTATACGAACTTATCATCATGAATGAACCGGACGAATCGCTAGTATCCAAGCAGGATAGAAGTAACTATAAGCAGATAATAATAGCAACTCATGTCGCACGGCGCAATTACGACCCCACCGAACAGATTCGTGGCAATAAGAGCAAAAAGTATACGCTGATAATAAAGCCTCTACTGAAGGAGGAGGAAGCGGCGAATAGGGGGCGTGCGAAATCGGGAAGCGGTGTTACTCTATTCAAGGAACTCGACCGACCGATCGAATACAAATACTGGAATAGCGTGCATGAATTGATTAGGGACCTAGAGGTTTTATGGGGTGAAAAAATGGCAGGCAACACAGGAGTACAAAATGATATAATATCGATTGTGGAAGAGCTATACGAAGAGGGTTACATACAAAAGCCCACGCAGCGATTTTTACGTCAACTAGTATAAATACCCCATTTCCGTCTTCCCCGCCTACATTCATCATGGATAAATTCGGACGTTCTCATACCCATGCTCAATTTGGAAAATTGCTAAAGACAAAATTTTCCATTACCGACGATACTATAAATGTGGAACGTAAGAGACTAAGTAATGTTGAGGATCCTATTGAACGTCATGATGCTCTAACCTTACAACATTACCTATCAACAAGACTGGATCTCAATGGAAATCGTTTGATGAATGTGGCCGATCCAGTAGACGATGGCGATGCCATAAATAGAGGATACTTCATGTATTACATGCAGATTGCGAAAGTACCTGTAGACGGTCTTCGTAATTACGTGGAGGCACTAGAGGAAGAGTTGAAGGCGGTCAAAGCAACCCTACATAAACTAATAGAGGATGCAGCAGGTGGTGAACGAGTTACACAAAGCGGCGCGCAAAAACTTCCCCCGTAGACGTATCATCATTAAAGGCTTCGATGATCTTTGGCAAGCAGATCTAGCCGAATTTATACCTTACGCAAAAGAGAATAAAGGCTACAAATACATATTGGTAGTTATCGATTGTTTTTCAAAATATCTATGGACGCGAGGGTTGAAGACTAAAACGGGTGAGGAGGTGACAAAAGCCGTACAGGCTATTTTCAAATCTACGAGACGCAGACCGAAAAATCTACAGACCGATGCCGGGAAGGAATTCTATAACAAATCATTCGCCAAATTGATGATGCAAGAACGCATTAATCACTATTCCACGTACAGTACGAAAAAGGCTGCACTGGCCGAGAGGGTTATAAGAAGTATAAAAAACCCCTTGTACCGGCAGTTTAGTTTACGTGGAAAATATGTATGGATAGATGCAATCGAATCGATCACGAGCGAGTACAATAATCGTAAACATCGAACAACGGGGATGAAACCGATCGAAGTGAAGGCCGATACAAAGCTGGACGCCTACCGCCACATCAAGCTCTTCAACAAGAGATATCGTTTTAATGTTGGCGATGTTGTTCGAATTAGCAAATTTAAATGTATATTTGCGAAGGGCTACACACCCAACTGGTCTAGCGAACTATTCAAAATTGTAAAAGTACGAATAACCAATCCGGTGACGTACTTATTGGAAGACATGAATGGAAAACCGATTTTGGGTGGATTTTATGAGCAAGAGTTGCAAAAGGCCAAATATTCAGATGTATATTTGGTTGAAAAAATACTCCGCCGGAAGAAGGATAAAGTTTATGTGAAGTGGTGGGGCTTAGAAGAAAAATCTTGGATCGATAAAAATGATATAGTTTAATATTGTAATTTTTTTTTATAAATAAAAACAAATATTTTAGAGTGTTTTTTTTTTATTGTTACGTTTAAGGAATTCTCATAACCTATCTACTGCATCTAGTGTTGATGCTTAAATAAAACTCTATATATGCAGGTGCTATTTTATTTTCCATAAATATACATTTGATAAATAGATATTTACAATGAAAGCTCCTGGATCGTTGCACTGGTTCAGCTTACAGCTACAATTATAAAAAATTAATTTTTCAGCTTCTCACTCCCGATACACTACCTGCTCGTAGCCCCAAGGAAGAGTGTTAATGCAGTCTGGTTGAATAATCCGCTTATCGTCGTGCGGACTAAGGACCACTTTATTCTGTTTGATTGTAAATACAGAATGCTTTTTCGATCTGATGAGGTGCTGATGACTCTTTATAATGTCGGCATTAAACAGTGAGTTCTTGTAATCATCTATGGTGATTGTCTTAATACTCGCTGCAGTTGATCCCTTAGATTTTTTAACTACATCTTTTGTATCTACGCGATAAGCGTACATTTTAGCGCGAAGACCAACAAATTCCAGCATAATTTTGCCATTGCTTTCGTCCTTCATTAGACCGGGAACCTTTTTATTCACTAGCGGTATTCCAAAAACGTTATCGCGCTCATAACTGGACGTATCGAATAGATGTATATCCTCCTTTATCATCGACTCGTATATGTCGGGTACGTTGGTGAACGAGTAAATCAGACTGTCGGTATCGGTGTATAAGAGTTTAGCGTTATTTTGGAATTTAGGCAGTACGTAATCGTAATGGAAATTGTAAAGGAACGTTTTGGAAATGTCTAGAACCGCAAAACCCACATATATCGGTTTGTTGAGGAACACCTCTAATCGATTCATTTCAATAATGACCATATCGTTATCAAATAAGGTGCAACTATGAAAATTTGGTTTTGCAATGCACGCCATTGCTCCATATCTTCCCTCGTAGCGAGATACGAGACGTACATCTTTATATTTCCTTACGTTCCCCATTAATTTCCCAAACACACTGTTGACCCATCAATTTGAAAAAGTGTATTTCGAATTCGTTTTTTGCTTGCTTTCTCATGGTCGCATTTAAATCAACGTACGTACGTAGCCACGGCGATTGCTTGAAACGTAAGACGTGATGTATTTTCACTAATTTTAATCCGTGTCGGACGTACAACTTTAAATTCCGATAATGGACGACGTAGTTACGTTTCGCGTATAATGTCAGCAATAGTTTCTTTAATTTCGAGCCTGGGGGAATTCTATGTTCGGGAGCCAATGGCAGCTGACTGTGGGTCTTATGAATATGATTGGGATAGTCAAAATCGCATTCTAGAATGTAGCCAATGTCCGAATCGTCTGGATGATTTAATATGTCTAGCGTTTCAAAGTTTTCTACAAACGAAAATTCTCCGCATGGAAGCGGCTCACACATTGTGCGCCCATAAAGCGAGTTTACGTCCAAGTACATTAAGTAGTTCGTAGGGAGGTTGGGATCGTATCCGCTTAACATATATTTATTGTTCGCTTTAGCATATCGAGTACTACACTGAGTTACACCGCCTCGAGTTCCACTCTCGATGAAAAGAATTTGATCGATATCGGTTAAAAGTTCCAGTTTAACACCCGTAATTTTTAACATGGCGTCAAATGCGAGCCCTGGAGCCGTGTAATAGTGCAAAGGATCCAGCTGATACGTTTGCATGCAAGTGATTCGGAAAGTTTCGAAAATATCGGCCAAAAGAAGCACGTCCGTTTTTAAGTAAGGATCGGAGTATTGACCTAAGGTTTGAATGGAAAATACGCGCCACACGTTTGAAGCGTGCTCGTACTCTTCGTCAGTAATGTCCTCGTTATGTAAATGACTAAAAAATGCATCCTTTGGCGGTAAAGCGGTCTCATCTAGCTTTTCCCAACAATCCAAATATTCGTAGGGGAAAACACCTTTTCTCGTTAGCAGATTGAACTCGGTGTCGTTACGACTATAGGATTTAGTGATAGTTTTCTGTTCGTCACCCAAGTACGCTGATAATTTATCAATACTACTACTCATAAATCGGAACGAGTCGATAAATCGAAAAGAAATTTTTGTATTGTCCACGTATTTTGTAAAAGAGATGTACTTTTCTTTGTTTAATGGGAGCAATGTTATGTGGCCCGGTAAACCAGTGGATAGTTCTCGAATAAAAAAATGCGCATCGTAACCGCTTAGATTATGAAATACGACGGGAATTACGGTGCTATCTTGGTAGTTTATGTTGCACCGAGAGTGTGAAGCGCCCCTATACAGACCTCTGCCCTTATGATTACTAATGATATGGTCCCTACTGCGAATGTCCCATCCACGAAAGGTTTTAACATGTGACAGTGCGCTGCATTCTTCGGAAAATCTTTGCGCTGCTTCATCAACTCAATCGTCCTCCAATGGGAAGTCTGGTTGTTTAAAAAATTGTATCGTCCAAACTGCAATGTTCCCTAAATTGTTTAATAAACCATTGAATGCAGTCTGCGCTCCCGTTACAATGAATGTTGAAAAGAGACCATCGTATGAACATTTCAGATAAACTGCCGAATACTAAAGGGTATGTGTTCTGGAAATAATTCGTAACACATCATCGTAGTTGCCAAGATCGCCATCGCATTTAACTAAATGCTTTCAAGGTCAGCTAAATAGCGAACGGGACCTTCTCCTTGTACGCGTAATGCGCAAATCTAAATATTTCTCTGTTTCGTTTGGTACCCCTAGCAGCGCACTCGTTTATTTGGCTGAACAGTTAGGTGAGTGTTTCGCAAAAGGGCGCTGAGGAGAAATGGTTTAAGCATAACATTGCAAATAAAAATTTCTTAATGACCCCACTTCGATAGTTGCGAAGATGTAATAAGGCCGCATATTTTTAATCCAAAGCAAAAATGGTATGAGTTCGCGGACTGTCCCTTTGGAAGATAATACTAATAAATTTACGGTGCGAGGAGCATTTGCGGTTGCTTACTTCACCATGAATGGCATAACAGCTGCTTTTTCGACACAGTACAAATTAATAGAGAGATTGTTCAATTTCTTCTCAAAACTTCTTACATCATTAAAGCTTAATGGGGATTGATTTGCCAACGATTT